GTCTCCTTTTTTGGTGTTTTCATGCAGGTTTTTCTACTAGTTGGAGGCTAGTCCACTACTGCATCCTTCTTTTCAAAGCTCAGGCTCCAGGATTATCTTCTGTATCTTTGTTAACTGGTTCCCCTTTTCTTTGTTGAAGAGAAATAAAAGAAAGAGGTCTGTGTAGTTTCTCTGCCTATTCTGCCATCTTGATTTTCTTCTTTCTTAATTTGGTTAGGAGGATTCATTTCGCCTGACAAAATATAACTCATAATCTATCACCCTATGTTTGTTCTGCTCCACCTACATACAGACTTCCCTTTGTCAGTTGATGGGGACTTCTCTACAGGTGCCAAAAACTTTAGAGTTGACTCTTCTCCTTCACAAATGTGGTAGTTATGTTTTGTGTCAACTTGGCTGGGCCTGGTTGAGTGGCTGGGAAGTTGGTGGTAGTTATTCCCCATGATGAGACTGGTAATCAACTCCATGGTGGGATCTACCACAAGCAGCTGAGTAGATGCTTTGGGTATAAGGTCTGCTTCCTGTATATAAGAGCAGCTTTGGGAATGGTCTCTAGCTTATGGTACGCTTAGACCCTGCATGTAGCTGTGTTGTTGTTCAACAGTCTGCCATGCTCTGCCAGCCTTGGGACTTAAAATGAACTTGAATTAATGGCCTGTTGTGTGGTTTGGTAACATTGGGACTGTGCCTTTTTACTAGTTAACCTTGGGGTTGGCAGCCTTAGCAGCCAGCATCTGTCTGAGTGATGAAAAGCCTCTAGCATCTATGGGCCAGGAGCAGGAGGCAGAGCTGAACATCAAGGTTGAGAGGCTTTCACCCGGGCCCTAGAGCATGGTACTTTGAACTTGGACATAAAGCCTCCAAATTACAAGAGAATAAACTCCTGTTGTTAAAGCCATCCCATTTGTGGTATATTCCTGTTAGAGTGAAACTAGGTAAACAGAACAACAACCTAGGAATTTCTCTAGGTTCTATGTTGATCTGAATTGTCACCCTAGTACCAACACTGTCTCCACCATCTTTCTTTGAAATCATTGCTATAAATACTTAACTGATTTGTAAGTCTAAGTTATGGACAACTTCCTTTACTTTCTATTTGCAATACAGGGTCTGAGTGATTCCCCTAAAAAGTGATTCAAATCATCATACCTCTGCTCAATATTCCATCATGTTTCACTATCTTACTGAATCCTATCATGATTTGTGTGCTTCTACATGTGCACACATGTGTGAGCACACATACACACAACACAGTTTCCTACTGCTTTTCCTTTTCTTATTCAACCCCAACACAGCAGCTCTCTCCTTCTCAAGCAGCATAGAGACTAAGAACATTAGGGTGAGCTCTCTTATGAGAAGAGACTCCAATCACTTGCAACAGAGATGTACTCTAAAAGTGGATTGTGGCAGAACCTAAATTACTTGTAGTTTCCAATCAGAGTATTTTTGAAAACAATTCCTCTGTTGGTGGAAGGTGGTGCTTGATTTTAAGATTACTCTTATTTCTTCAATTATATAAATATTACTTATAACATCCATTTCTTTCTACATGTAAAAAATTTATAATGATAATTTACTTTCATATAAGCAGATGGATAAAAATTTATAGGACATATAGTTTAATAAGTTATCTACTGTGTCTATATTGTCTGTGCTTCAAAACAGTTAAAGAAAATCAGAATTTTCTGAGTAATATATTTATAAGCAAGCTTTCAAACAAAAAATAAATTACCTTTAGTTTAGAATCTGATTCTAATTTTAACTTCCTAGGCTTGAAATATTAAGTAATTTAAAATTATTAAAAATC